ACTGCCTGGTTTTGTGTTTCCTTGTTTTTCTGATCAGAGCTTTTGGGTTGGGAGCCAAAGTGGAATGATACAGCCCCCAACCCACCTAGAATTCCCCCACCCGCCCAGTGCCCTGGTTATGTGGTGACCTCTGGGATTTTGATGATTTCTGCAGCTTGGTGCGATCAAGTGTCTCTTACTCCATTTCTTTACACAGAGAGTTCAAGGCTCGGATATTCCCTCTCTTCCCCCTTTCCCTGCCCCTTCCAGATGCAGGGGCCAGGTTGGCTCCAGGAAAGCACTTACTCAGGCAGCAACCCAAGCCAGGGAGTGTTTTTTGGGGCACTCCAGGGATTTTTCTCACTGCTGATTCCAAACCAGCAGGATCAAAGGGCTATGAGAGTTCCCTGTACCAGGGATGTGCTGCCCCAAAACAGCACGGCTGCCACTGACCCTTACAGCCAGACCAGCTGGGCTGGGTCCCCCCCAGGCGCCTCTTTTGGGGTGATGGTGGTGGACAAACAGCACTTGGAGGGGGAGCACCACACAGCTCCGGGCTGGCAGGAGCTCCTCGACATCCCGAGCGCCAGCCAGGGAGCGGAGAAACATCTCAGGGCTTGGTGACCCCCGGCAGGGGCTGGAGGTAGGTAAGAGAACTCACGCTTTTGCTGCAGGGCGGCTGCTCCGTCAGGGCTTTGATGAAGCTTTTAACTAGAGCTTGTGATTACTTTTTTCATCCTTTTGTTTCTTATTTGTTACTAAAGTTGATTTTACTCAAAGGCACTTTTTTGGGATGATGTTGGCTTCTGGCACGGAAGGAGCACATTTCATCGGACACTGCCATGGGTTTGTTTTTGGTTTTTATAAGAGACTTTTAATGTGAAAACAAGCAAAACCAGAAATTGTTACACTTTGCCTGGTGTGGCAAAACTCACCCAGTTTTATACTTTTAGAAAATGAAGTGCATTGGTGGGAGTTTTTTTAACTGTGGGCTTTGCTTTTTTCCTTCCCTCAACATAAAGAAATAAAAAGAGGGAGAAAGGCCCTGTAAATACTGTTCGGTAGGGTTTTTAATCGTGATAAATTGCTCCTGCCGTTGCATAGCTGATTTGTAGCACCAACATCGTTTCTTTGTATGTTTGTAATTATGAGATTTTCAAGGGATGCTTTGATTTGTACAAATGACACCTGTAAAAGTGGTTTAAAAAAATCCTCATCTGTGACTGATACTTTGTTTGCTTTGAAAAGGGAAAGAACCAAAACAACCAAAGTACCTCACCCTGCCTGGAGCTGATTTATCTCCTGCTCTAGGGTTGGGAGTCTGGGGAATGAGACAATATTTTCCTGTTGTTTGCTTTGCTCCTACTTTTTTTTCTATCATCTTTAAATCCTCCCATCAAGCCTGTTGCTAGGATCCTGGTTACTTGGTTACATCCAGCTTCCCTGGGCCCTTCAGGCTGTATCTGACGAGATGTATTCCTGATCTTGGCAAGGGGATACAACTGGCACAGACAGAGGGACCTGCTCCTTTGGCATGGAGGCTTTCCCTTTTCCCATGAGATTTCCATGAAGAAAATTTGGCTGCCTCTCATCTTTTTCCAAGGACATCTCCAGAGGTCTGGGAGTCTAAAGGGGTTTTAGCTTTGACTGTTTTCCTTATTCATATCCAGTCTCCTGGCACACATGGAGCATGCTGATCTTTGAGCAGAGCATGTAAGGAAAGGAGACACTGAAACAATCTTCCATGTCTACCTGCCCCAGGTGTTCCCTCAGTGTCCCTGTATGGTCTCTGCTGCTTCCCTTTCTTCTCAGAATCTGGGCTGCCCAAAGCCACCAGCTGCTGAAAAAAGCAGGAGTTGTCCCCAGCCAACTCCCTCCAAGGTAACACACCTTGAGCAATCGGCCTTCCCTTGCTGTTCAGCTTTCCTGGAGCACCAGACTTTTCCAGTCAGCAGGATGGTAACCAGAGCACTGTCAGTCCCAAAATAATTACCCACCCTTGCTTGTTTTTATGTCCCTGGAGAGATTTAAAAGCCATGCAGAGGTGGCACTTGGGGACATGGGTTAGTGGTGGCCTTGGCCATCCTGGGGTAATAGTTAAACTCTGTGGTCTTAGAGAGCTTTCTGAACAGAACAATTCCATGATTCTATGGGGTGCTGAAGCTGTTTTGCACTGGCCAGCATGGCCTGCTCCTGGCTCCCAGCCTGGGAGGCTGCTGTGGCAGGAGGGAGATGCTGCTGACAGCCCGAGCCAGCAGGAGCCACCTGGGGAAAGTGCTGCAGGTAACCTCGTGCTTGCTGGGTGGGCTGACCAGGGGTGAGGGACAGAGGGGGGATCCCGTGCTGCCCCAAAACCTGGAGTTCTGTGCCAGCCCAGCGGTGCTTGGCCCCTCCTAGCCCTGCTCGACATGCAGGACTTGTCTGGGGGACAAATGTCCTCCTGGCACAGCCCTTCGTGTCTTCTGATGAGATATTTTTATATTAAATATTTGGCAGCATCTCCAGCTGGATCATCGCCTGATGCACACCCACAGCCCTGTCCCTCTAATATCCAGAGCTTTTTGGGGAGCAGAAAGGGGAGAACAGAGGCAGCCTCCCCCTCTCTGCCACCCCTACTTTGCTTGCTCCGTGTTGTCTTTGCTGATGCAAAGGAAGAGATGTGTTTTCCCCTCCAGGCTGATGTGTTCAGCCAGAGCAAACACAGAGCTCATGGCCTCAGGTGGAACTGCAGAGTCATCATGGAATGGTTTGGGTTAGAAGAGGCCTTGAAGCTCATCTTGTTCCACCCTCGCCATGGGCAGGGACAGCTCCCACTGTCCCAGGTTGCTCCAAGCCCTGTCCACAGCTTCTTTGGGCAGCCCCAGGGCTGGCTGGTGACCAGCAGCACCTCTGCTTGTGCCCCTGTCCTGCAGCTCTGTGGGTGTGACAGTGCTGAAGGAGCAGGTGACGGAGCTGGGCTAGGGTGACAGAGGCTAAACCAGCACCTCTGACCCTGGTCAGTGAGGGGCCGCGGTCCCTCGGATCACGTGAAATGAAGCCCCCAAATTGTGCCTCTGAAATGACACAAATGGAAAGACAGAAGTGGAAACCTTGAGGTGGCCAGAGGCACCCAGACTCCACAGCCTCAGCACAGAGCCGTGTTTGCAAAACACCCTAAAAATAGCCCCAGGAAGGGACAAGGACAAGGAGCAATGCCCAGGGCCGTTTCTAAGTGGCCGTGCCCTCCTGCATGCAGAGGCTGGGCCTGTGGGCTGTGCCGAGGGTGGCTGTTCCAGCCGTGGGCTGTGCGGCTGGCGCTGCAGTGCCAGGGAGCTCTGCTGTTCCCCTGCTGGCAGGAGCTCAGCCCGGAGCCAGAGGAGGCTGTTGCCAGGAGAATCCTGAGTTGTTTGTGCGGTGACTCCTGTGTGCTGGGCTGTCAGGCAGCACCAGTGCTGTGGCTGGGACAGCCCATGGTTGTGAGGGTGGGATTTTATGCCTTCTTTTCATGTTTTCTTTTTTCTTCTGTCCCTTAGGAGAAACACCAAACCCAGTAAAAGAGTCAGAGAATCCCAGACCTTTTTGATTGGAAGAGATCTTAAAGCTCATCTTTTTCTGCCCCCCTCTGATGGGCAAGGACACCTTCCACCGTCCCAGGCTGCTCCAAGCCCTGTCCAGCCTGGCCTTGGACACTTCCAGGGATCCAGGGGCAGCCACAGCTGCTCTGGGCACCTGTGCCAGGGCCTGCCCACCCTCACAGGGAAGGATTCCTTCCCAATATCCCATCTATCCCTCCCTTCTGGCAGCAGGAAGCCATTCCCCCTTGTCCTGGCACTTCAGGCCCTTGTCCCAAGTCCCTCTCCAGCTCTCCTGGAGCCCTTTTAGGCTCTGGAATGGGCCTTAAGTTTTCCCCCCCAGAGCCTTCTCCAGGCTGAACACCTTCAGCTCTCCCCGTGTTTGTCCAGTGGAGAGGGTCTCCAGCCCTCTTTGGAACATTCTGGCCGCCTCTGGGCTCACTCGGGCGGTTCCATATCCCTGCGATGCCCGTGCCCGGAGCTGGGGTGTTTGGCTCAGGCCGGTTTCTCTCTGGCCCCGGCGGCGGGGTCGGGAAGGGCGCCCGACCCTGGGTAGACCTGATGGCTGCGCGCTGGCCACGCCCCGCATTGTCATTGGTCTGATTGTTGCTGGGTGGTCCCGCCTCCAAGCTCCCATTGGTGGAGGCGGGCGGAGGGGCGTGTCCCCCCGTGCTATGTAAGCGTGGCGGGTGCGGAGTCCCGGGGTCGCTGCGGGGACCGGGGGCGGCCGGGGCTGTGCCGGGCTGTCCCCACCGCCCAGCCCCAGCGTGATGCTGGTCGCTGGCTCGCCGTGCAGCCCCGCGGGGCCGGAGGAGCACCGGGGCTGCAGGGCCCGGCGGGACAGCCAGGTAAGGGCTCCTGGGCTGTACCGCCCCGTCCCCGGGCGCGCACGGTGCAGCCCGCACGGGCGTTCCTCGGAGAGGCGTGGGGCCGTGCCCCGCTGCCCGCCCCGCCCGGCTGCAGGGAGGGGAGGAGCCGGGACATGTCCCGAAAGCGGCCGGGACAGGAGCAGCCCTTTGGCCGCACACGGGAGCTCCAGCCCCGAGGAGTGTGGGGCAGAAAGGACCCGAACCCCGTGCTTGGAGCAGGGGCAGCCCTGCCAGTGTGCGGGGAAATCGTGATGTTCAGTGGCGTTTTGTGCCCAGGGAGGGTCGGCGGGACCGCGGAGCGGGCCGTCGGCACCGTGCTGCTCCCGCTGCCCAGTGCCGTCTGTGCCCGTTCCTCGCTGCCGTCCCGTGGCGGCGGCGCCCCGCGCTCGGAGCGGTGTCACGGCCGGCTGTCCCGCTGCGTCACACAGCGCAGCAACATCGCAGCCCGGTTTCATCAGGCGCGGCCAGCGTGACGCACAGGGCGTGGGGACACGGCCCCGCGGCCCGTGCCGGTGTCCGCCTGAGTCACCCCTTCCGGTGACGCCGACGGGGATGTTCCCGGGCTCCGCTGACTCCCGGCTCTGCCTTCCTTCCTAGGAAAGAGGAATTGAAGCTGCCCGGGAGCTGGCGAGGGGCCCCAGCGCCTTCATTCCCCTGGGAGAGGTAAAGCGATGAGGATTGGCTTGGGTGGGGGTCTCCTTCACCCTTCCCTGCTGCGGGAAGGATTCCCAGCCCTCCGATTCCTGGTGCCTGGTGGGGATGGGATGCTGAGGATGGGATGGAGAGGGGTCACCCACCCCAGGAGGATCCTTGTGGCATTGGGAGGGGGTCGTTCTGGAGATTAGGGGAACAGCTGTATTTCACCCTGGTGTTTGCTTGCCCTGTCTGTGCCTCAGTTTCCCCACTCAGCCAGACACATCTATGTTTCCCCTGTGATGCAAAGACCCACACCCTTGCCCTGCCCGACCCCAGCATTTTGCCCTGACATCCCCAGGGCACCTGAGCCCTATCTCAGCGCCCACATTCACTGCTCCAGATGTTCCTCCTCAGGCAGAGATAGCGCCGTGGTTTCGTCACTGCGCTGGGGGCTGACCCCCATCTCCTCCTCCCTCGCACTGCAGAGCCCAAACAAACAACCCAACCCACAGGCCGAGCAGGACGGGCTGTGTGGGTTCTGCCATGGAGACCCCCCAGCCCCCTGTGCCCCCCGGGGCTGGCAGGGAGGGCACGGGCAGCGGGGGCCCCCGGCGGTGTCCGTTCCGGAGGCAGGGCGCTTCCACTGGGGTGAGGATCCAGCCTCGGTGCTCTTGGGCTCCTGCGTGTTGGGGGGCGTCTCCACTTAGGTTAGGGGAGGTTGGGAAGAGTGGGAGCCCACAGCTCGCAGCCCTTCACTTCTCTCCTCTCCTCCTGGTGCAGATCCCGCAGGAAGGCGGGGAGAGCAGCCTGCACCAGCTCCTCCAGGCCTTCGTCTCCGCAGGCAGGGTGGACCACGTCGCCATGGTCATGGGGCTGCACCCCCAGTACCTCAGCAGCTTCTGGAAGACCCAGTGCCTCCTGCTGCGCATGGACGGGCCCCTGCCCTACCACAAGCGCCACTACATCGCCATCATGGTGAGCAGCGGGGCCCTGGGGGTGCTGTGGGGACACGGGGGCTGTGTGGGGTCCCAGCACTGCTGCTCAGGAGGCATTTGGGACCCCAGAGATGGGCCCCTTTCTGATCTGACATCCCAAACCCCTTTGGGGCTGGTGCCCACCCAGGGTACCCCAACACCCTCCCTCCATGCCCTCTGGAGCACTGGCACTGATAGTGAGGGGGAAAATCCCCCTGTCTGTGAGTCACATCCCCAGGGAAAATCCTCCAGGAGGGACGTGGGACGCGTGGGCTCCCTGCCTTGGCTTCTTTGGGGGCTTGTGGCAGGGCGGGACCCCAGACGGGGCTGGGGCTGACCGCTGGCTCTCCCCGCAGGCTGCAGCCCGGCACCGCTGCTCCTACCTGGTGGGGCTGCACATGAGGGAGTTCCTGCAGGTGGGGGGCAGCCCTGCGTGGCTGCAGGGGCTGCACTGTGCCCCCCAGAAACTCCGGAACCTCAACGAGATCAACAAGCTGCTGGCGCACCGGCCCTGGCTCATCACCAAGGAGCACATCGAGGTGAGAGCCGGTGCTGCCAGCACGGATCCCCCCAGAACACACAGGCTGATCCCAGGGGTCACCTCCTGTGTGCACGGCCCCCAGGGTTTAACCCTTTCAGGGCTGAGGGAGGCAGTGGGGTGGGAAGGGGTGACTTGCCCCTGACGGGTCTGTGGGTCTACAAACACTCCTGTATCCCTGCCCCTGGCGTGCCCCAGCACTGGGCTGTGGTGGGCTGAGGGCTGGGGCATCCCTCCAAGCCCTGCTGTGTGTCACAGGCTCTGCTGAGGCCGGGGCAGGACAGCTGGTCGCTGGCAGAGCTGGTGCAGGCGCTGGTGCTGCTCACCCACTACCACTCGCTGGCATCCTTTGTCTTCGGCTGCGGCATCAGACCCGAGGGGGAGCAGGACGTGGGGAGCAGCTGCTGGGCCCCCTCACCCCACAGCAACAGCAGCCCCGCCTCTGGGGACAGCGTGGGGGGCTCTGGGGTAAGAGGGGCTTTGCCTTGCAGGGTGTGAATGTACCCTGGGATGCTTTATGGGGCTGCCCCTGGGAATCACAAATTGGCTTGGATTGGAGGGACCTTAAAGCCTGTCTTGTTCCACCCCCTGCCATCGGCAGGGACACCTTCTGCTGTCCCAGCCTGCTCCAAGCCCTGTCCAACCTGGCCCTTAACTCTTTTAGGGATGGGAGCTGCTGGAATCTGGGCAGGACCAACCCAGAGGGAGATGCCCAGGGGTTCCCCCAAGTGCCAGCAGATCTGTGGCTGGGAGCTCCTCTGGTCGACCAGGGGCAGGGCTGACCCTGCCCTGTGCTTCCCCAGGGCACAGATGCCATGCAGGAGGTGGAGGTGCTGATGGAGAGGATGAAGCTGCTGCAGGAAAACCAGCTGGAGGAGGACGGAGTCACACAGGAGGAGATGGCAACACGCTTCGAGCTGGAGAAGACAGAGAGTTTGCTGGTCCCTTCCTCAGGTGAGGAGGTGCAGGGGGCAACTCTGGGGGCAGGAGGTCCCCGTGGGCCAGGGGAGCCCGAGGGGGGGGAAAAGAACCAGAAGAGCAGGATCAGCTCCCCAGTGCAGCGCTGACTCCATCTGGGCTCACGGCTCTGCGTTGGTGCCTTGTAGATGTTTTGGATCCCTCGCTGCAATCCAACATCCGCTGCTTCCTGGAGGACCCTGAGTTCGGATACAAGGACTTCACACGCAGGGGGGAGCAGGCCCCCCCCACTTTCCGTGCCCAGGTGGGTGCTCAGCAGTGCCCCGGCTCTGGGAGTGCCTCCTGTTTATGTCAGGGCTGCTCCCAGGATTGAGGACAGTTCAGGTCGCCTGTCCTGGCTGTGCTCCCTCCAATTGGTAGAGCCTGAAACAAGAGGAATAAAGTCCTTGACTCGGGATAAACCAAATTTAGCAAAAAATCCAGACCATCAGTGTGTTACCAACACCCTTCTCATTCCAAATCCAAAACACAGTGCTGGAACAGTGGCTGAAAAGAAATTAACTCCACCCTTCCCGAAACCAGGACAGAGGGATCCCCCTTTTCCCCACCAAACCCCTACCTTAGTGTCCTTTTTCCACCAGGATTACACCTGGGAGGACCACGGCTACTCGCTGATCAACCGCCTGTACCCAGACGTGGGGCAGCTCCTGGATGAGAAGTTCCAGGTGGTTTACAACCTGACCTACAACACCATTGCCATGCACTGCGGCGTGGACACCTCCGTGCTGCGCCGCGCCATCTGGAACTACGTGCACTGCGTCTTCGGCATCCGGTGCGTGCCCGCAGGGGCTGGGCCTCCTGCTCCTCCTTGGGAAGGGCCGGGAGCAGCTCCTGGGTTAACCTGGCTGGGCTCTCTGCTCCTCCTTGGCAAGAGCCAGGAGCAGCTTCAGTGACTTGTCTGGGTTAATCTGGCTGGGTTTCTGCTCCTCCTTGGGAAGAGCCAGGAGCAGCTCCTGGGTTAACCTGGCTGGGCTCTCTGCTCCTCCTTGGCAAGAGCCAGGAGCAGCTTCAGTGACTTGTCTGGGTTAGAGCACTGCTGCTTCCCTAAGGCAAAGTGGTGCTGGTGGCGGGCTTGGCTGAGGTTCAGAACAACCCTGGGAAAGGAGAATTTAATGCAAAATCACAGTAAGGATGGTCAGGCTCTGGCAGATTTTGCCCACAGAGGTGGTGGAATCCTGGAAGTGTCCAAGGACAGGGCTTGGAGCAGCCTGGGACAGTGAAAGGTGTCCCTGCCATGGCAGGGGTGGGACTGGAAGGGCTGTAAGGTCCCTTCCCACCCAAAGCACTCTGGATTCTATGAGCGCACAAGTGTCTGCAATAACACATCCTCCTCTCTCCAGCTATGATGACTACGACTACGGGGAGGTGAACCAGCTCCTGGAGCGCAACTTAAAGGTCTACATCAAGACAGTGGCCTGCTACCCAGAGAGGACAACCAAGCAGATCTACGCACAGTTCTGGAGGCACTTCAAGCACTCGGAGAAGGTGCTGGCCCGTCCCTCCCCCTGCAGGGTGCTCAGGTGCTGGCCCTGTGCCTGGCCCTGTGCCTGACCCTGCTCTCCTGTAGGTGCACATCAACCTGCTCCTGCTGGAGGCGCGCATGCAGGCAGCTCTGCTCTACGCCCTCAGGGCTGTCACCCGCTACATGACCTGACCTGAGCTGCTCTGCTCCTGCTCCTGCTCCTGTCCTGGCTGCGCAGGAACAGCCAGGGGGCAGCTGGAGCCCTGGAATTCCACTGCAGTGTTGTCTCCCTGCTTCACGGGCCTAGAGCTGTGGAAGTGGGAGCTTCCCTGCGCTTTCTCCCCGGAGAGGGGAGCCCCAGGAAGCTGCTGGTGCTGGAAGACCCCAGAGCGCTGCCCTGGGCCTGGCAGAGCTGCGAGGGCTCTGCTACTCTGTGCCTTTTTGGGGCTGGCCTGAGCGGAGCCAGACTGGGATGTCTGTGGCTGCAGTGCTGGTGTCACACCCTGTGACGTGTCCTGGCACCAAGGCTGCCACCGAAGAGGACTGCCCCCCTGCCCGAGATGGCCAGAGGATGTCACGGCCTTCACCCCTGCTTTCTGGGTCCTGCTGTGCTGGGAGACACAGCTGCTGGTGGGGGTGCTGCCCCGGCACCCCCTCCCCACCCTTCTGCCTCATCCCCTGCAGTTTGGGATGTGAAGTGCCTTTAACCTCAGTGCCAGGGCAGGAGCAGGGAAAGGGTAAGAATACCTGAGTGTGTTTTACACCTTTTTGCAGTTTTCCAACCACTGGCACATCTCCACTGCCTCAGCTTCAGGGGCTGAGGTGGGGAGCTGTGCTGGGGCGTGAGGCTCCTTCAGCCCCTCTCCTGCTGTCAGGGCGGCAGGGTGGCATGGGCTGCCCATGGCTTCATCCAGATCTGCCAGAGCATCCCCAGCAGCACACAGAGGTGCCTCTGGGGAGCAGGATCCAGGGCCAGCAGCATCGCCACCCTTGGTTTGGCTGTTGAATGATAGCTCCAGTTAAGTTATTTCTATTTTTTTTTTTTTGATGTATTAACTTCTGACTAGGCATGGACATGCCTCTGTAACTCTGCTATTGATCTTGTTTGAAAAAATAAAATAATTATTTTTTAATTCTTTTTCCTGTTTCACTTTCCCCTTGGTCAGCCCAGGGGCTGCTCCCGTGTGGCAGGAGTGGAGTGCAGGGTCTTGCTGCTCTGGGGGTACCCAGGAGCATCCCCAAGCTGTCCAAGGGAGGGTGCGGAGCTCTGAGTCCTCCCCGTGCGCCTGAGAGGGATGGGTTTGGCTTCAGTAAACTCCTTGTGGTGGCTGCTTCGTCTTTCCTGGCTGTGGCACCTTCCTGGGAAGGCAGGATGGAGGCACGGCCCTCACGCCGTGTGTGTGTCCACGGGATGCTCTGACCCTCTGCAGTGGGGCTGGGGGGCAGCAGGACACCCCAAGCCCACGATGGGGAGCCCAGCTCTTATCAGGGTGTGGGCAGGAGCCCCTGGGAGCTGCTGATAAGATCCCTGGGGAGGGGCCAGTGCTGCAGGGAAGGTGTGTGAGCCTTGGGCCTTCCCTGGGGAGCCAGGTCTGGCTCTGGGGCTGCTCGGGACCCCGCAGGGAGAGGGGGACCCACCGTGCGGCCCCTCTGAGCACGGGGAGGGCAGGGGGGCCTGAGTTTGCTGGGGATGCTGGGGCAGAGTCTCTGTTTTGGGGGAAAAGAGGTTTGAGGGCAGCTTTTTTGGGGAAACTGAGGCAGGAGGACAGGGCTCCCTGGGCTGTGCTGGTTGTGCCAGAGTTCCTGGTGGGGATAAGAGCAGAGCCCCCACAAAGGGCTGTTCTTTCAGGGTGTCACCCTATAGCTCCAGAGAGCACTGGGGGGACCTGGGGGCCTTGGGGAGCTGAGCCAGCCCTCGGGTCTCCTTTAGCCCCTGCCCTGGCTCATTGCATCACTTCAACCCCCTTGGTTTTTTCAGTTGGTCACAATTATAAACCAGTAAATTCTTCATTCAGTGCATTACTAAAGCCTGCAATTTGTGTACACATCTATAATTTATCCACAGTTTTCACTGTTCTCTTGCAGGGCAGGTGTGTTAATAATCTCCCTACCTGTAGCTGATAGTTATGATCCCAATAAATGCCTTTTTTTTTTCTCACTGCAATTGCCCTCAATTTAAAAACATAACGTGTTAGTGGTGTTTAACACACATCAAAGCAACAGGAAATAATAGTAGTGGTGGCAATATTATGATGATGATGATGATGATGATTATTATTATTATTATTAATAATAATAATAATAATAATAATAGTAATAATAGTAATAATAATTTGTGCTGAAGGAACATTTTACAACTGATGGAGCCCGAAGTGCTTTGCAAAGGCGGCATCCCTGGGGCTGAGCTGCACTCGCTGTGCAGGGTTCACGTGGGGCTGGAGATGAGAAACACCTGAGTGTGGGCGGCTCATTCCCGACAGGTGCAGGCAGACACCTGGATCCGCTGCATGGGCTGAAGTGAACAATCACAGAGCCCAGGCGGGACCGGCCCGGGGCCGGGCCTCGGGACCCGGTGCCAAAGCCCCACGGTCCGCTCACGCCCTGACCCCAAAATCTCATCCTCCCACCCCAAACCCCCATCGCCAGTCACTCCGTGGCCTCAGAGCCGCCGTCCAACCTCTCCCGGCACCTCATCATCCCTCTGACCCCAACGCTCCGAACGCCTCCGACCCCACATCCCGTTCGTCCCCCGTCCGGGGGGCGTGTCCTCGCGGTCCGGGGGGCGTGTCCTCCTGCCCAGAGGGGCGTGTCCTCCCGTCCCGGGGCCGTGTCCTCGCCGCCCGCACTACATTTCCCGGCATGCCCTGCGCACGGCTTCCGGCGGCGCGTCCCGGCAGCGGCGGCGGCGGCGGCGGCGGCGGCGGCGGCGGCAGGTGAGGGCGGGCGGGGGCCCGGGAGCGCCGGCACGGCCGGGGAACCGCGGGGGAGCCCCGGGCCGGAGAACCGCGGCTCGGCCCTGGCCCGCCCCCTGCTCCCTGCCCGGGGGCAGCGCTGCGGGGCGGGGGCGGTCCCGGTCCCGGAGGGGAAGCGGGGGCGCCCCGGGGATGCCGCGGGAGGGCCGGGGCTGTGCGGGCACCGCGCCGGGGGCGTCCGGGCAGCGGCTCGCGGGTCAAACGCAGCCGCTCGCTGGCTCCGAGCGCGAGGAGCGGAGTTCGCCGCTGTCCTCCGAAGAGCGGTTCGGGAACCCGGAGCGGCTGGGGCTGGCGCTCCGGTAAAACCCGGGTTGCGTCCCCGCCGCCCTCCCGCGCCTTGCCGTGAGTGTTTTCAGCTTCCCCAAAGTTCCCTCTGAGGCAGCCCCGTTGGTATTTCTTTGTTTGATCTCTCCTGCCTTAATGTTGACTGAAATTTGAAACGTCCCCGTTGTGCTTTCTGGCTTAATTGTTCTTTCCCTCTGTTTGCACGCAGATGAATTATTTACCTCTGTGCCTTGCATTGGCTTGTGTTTGTCCAGGTGGAGGTAGGCAAGGGCTTGGTGCCCTTCTCTGGCACTGAATTGCTGCAGAAAAAAGTAAATGAAGCGAGACGGTGCTTAGCTGAGGCTGAAATAAACTGAGCATTGAAGTTTCGTGATGCTCGTGTTTTTCAAAAGCAAGTCCGGTGCAGGATCAGGGAGGGGGATTGATGAAGCTTCCCCAGGCCACTCTTGGTGGGTAAAGGATGTTCAGCTGAGTTAGTTTGATGTGCTGCAGAGCATGCAAGGGAGTGTAACCGGATTCCTCTCCCTGCTGTGATTTCCTCAGGAGTGCCTGGTGCTCTTCAAGCAGACCTTTTAAATGAATCCAAACTGCTTTCAAGAGTAGACAATACCTAAAATCGGCAACTTACATGGTTTAAATTCCTTTTTGTGAAGGAAAGGGCAAAATAGAGCCAAAATGAGGTCGATTGTGAGGGACTGTCACAGTTACACCAGCTGAAGCTGAGTATCTGGACAGTGATGGTAACAAAATCCCTTTCTCATTCAGAGTGGGTTTATTAAACCTGTTCTTGCCAGCAGTGCTGGGAATGACTGCGCTGGTCTGTCCCAAGTCAAGGTGGTTTCAAAGTGTGTCCCTTCCCAGGTGATACTCTAGTGTCTGATAATGTATCAGAGTGTTTTTGCAAGGAGCATTTTCTTTGTGGATTACCAGGGGCTGAGCTGTGTCTGAGGCACAGAGTGTCCTCAGCCCCTGGGAGATGGAGTGGGAGTCCTGTTGAGAGCGTGGGGCAGTGCCACAAACGAGGGGATGTGATTGCATCCTCGTTTTCATGCTGTTGCATCCGTGATTATACAGCCTTCTACTTCATTCAGTCACTGGTTAATTTCCTTTCCAGTTCAATTTGATAACAGTTTTGAGAGCCAAATCATTTGTGTTTAAACAAATGGCTTCTATTTTGATCAAATTTCATTGTGTTTGGCATGTGTTGCAGCATTCTATGTATTAAAAACTGCTGAGGCTGTGGTTCCTGCAGGTTAATTAGCTGGTGATGAATATTTAGTTACAAGCTGTACAAAACCTGTGTCTGGGTATGTCGGGGGGGGCTTAAAACAGAACTGGGTTTTTCTGGTTGGTCTCAGTGATGCTATGAGTGAAGAAAGCTGCAAATATCATTGGGATCATTTGGATTACCTCAAAACATGTCATTTTTCAGGCAAAACTGGAACTTTGGGCTACAGGGAAGCTGGTAGGACTGTTGGGGGAAAAGATATCATCTTGCTCCTGCATCCATTAAGGTGGGAGTGGAGATGCTCCAGGTCGTTCATAATCAGTTCCCTTTAGCAGTGATTTTCTGCATACAGATGCCAGGTGGGTTTATTTTTCTGAGTGTGAGAATGCTTTTATTTTTTGCTGGCAAGTTTAGAGCCTGTAGAAAACTAATGTGTGTGCAACTGTGGCAGTGTTGGGCCTGGGCTTTGTGTCGAGGGGAAAAAAGCCCTTTCAGAGATCTATTTTTATCAGTTAATTAGTCGCTGCTGCTGACGTGTCAGTGCTGTGGTGATAACTATTCCCAGTTCTTCCCTGCACAGTGGGGTCATGGTTAGGCAAGGAATGCAGCGGCCAGCATGGCTGCTCGTCCCCATGGCTGAGTTTAACTCCTTCCAAACTGTGCCCCTCAATCCAAGGGCAGATTCCGTGGGAGGAGCTGGCACACAGCTGAACAGGAGTTTGTCAGCCTTCAGCAGAGGTGCTTGCCCATTGCTGACTGCCCTTTGTTTTTCCTCTGCCCAGAGGATTTACTGTATCTCGTACTGTAGGAGCTGAGGTGTGGAGGTTGGTGTGATTTTCCAGTGGCTGGGTGACAGGCCTGGAACCAGAGGTAAAAGGCTGCAGCTTTCCCAATTCTTGCTCTTATCTGCTGATTTTGAATGACTCAGGACGGTTTGTCTGGCTTGGAAGGTGACCAGGCAGAACATGTAGTGATTACACATTGGTATTTTGCTTCTTGTAGATGAGGAGTTGCTGTTTTCCTGATTTCAAAATGATGAAGCCCTTAATCTGAAAAGTCTTGTGTTGTTCATCCTATTGCTTGTGGTGTCACTTGTTTTTGATCCTCAGCTGTGCTGAGATAGGGAGGTGAGAGGCAGCTTTGGTCTCAGCCATACCCTGCTTGTCACTGCCTGAATTTCTTTGTTTATTGGTGAATCTCTGCTCTTTCTGCTGGGGATGGGATGGGGGAGGGAGGACTCATTATCTCCAGAGAGAGGCTTTAAATGCTATTAGCCAAAAGAGCAGGCTTCGTCTCCTAACTTGAATGAGTTGAGAGAAATAACACAAAGCACTGGTGGCAAAGATATGAAAATTGAGAGCAGTCCAAATGGTTTCTCTCTGCTGAACCCTGGAAATAGATTTATTATTTCTTTTCTCTGAGCCTTTGGCTGGTAGCAGCTTTGGAGGAGTGAGGGAAGGGGTAAACAGATTGTTAACTTTACTCTTTAGTGTTTGTGCTTTTTGCATACTGATTCCAAAGCACAGCTAGGAATCGCTCACCTACCAGCTTCTTGCAGTCGTGATGGGCAATTCATTATCAAGGACTAATTAACCGCAGCTG